GTCATCTGAATTGAATTTGCCCATTCCTGTCCATTTTAGTTCACTGATGTCCAGTGATGCCATCTCCTGTTTGACCACATCCAACTTACCAAGGTTCATAGATCTTACATTCCAGGTTCCTATGCAGTATTTTTCTTTGCAGCATCGGACTTTCCTTTCACTTCCAGGTGCGTCCGCAGCTGAGCATCCTTTCAGCTTTGGCCCAACCCCTTCATTAGCTCTGGAGCTACTTGTCCTTGTCTTCTGCTCTTCCTCAGTAGCATGTTGGACGTCTTCCGGCCTGAGGGGCTCATCTTCCAGCATCATATCTTTTAGCCTTTTGTTTCTGTTCATTTTCTTGGCAAAGATACTGGAATGCCAGTTCCTGCTCCAGGTGGATCACGTTTAGTCAGAACTCTCCCCTATGACCTGTCCGTCTTGGGTGTCCCTGCACGCCATTGCCCATAGTTTCTCGGAATTACTCAAGCCCCTTCACCATGACAAGGCAGCAATCCATGAAGGGGATGCTGGTTGGTATGTCAAAGTAAATACCTTCAAGCTATTTACATTTTTAGGGGGGCACTATTATCTATTCATCACAGAAGAGTATTTATTTTTCTTTCCACAGTTGCCTCTGGAGGAGAAGTGATGATGCCCATTTGGAATAGGACCATCTTCAGGCCCTTTTGAAGCAGAGGCTTGGACCGCTCCTTATCGGAAGGAGGAGGAAGACAGAGAAGCACCAGCATTGCACTTCCCATGCAGCTTCATTTTATGATACAGTTGGGAAAGTAATGAAGAAGAAAGATAGGAATAAGATCTCCCCAACAACACATGATTTTTAACTGAGTACTGTGAATGTGGATTATGTTTGCAAGAGAAGTACTATCCAAAGAAATGACAACTGGACCCAAAGTAACGTGTCACATGTTTGCTTTGCCAAAAGCAGCAGACACCTGGAAAGACATCCAGAAAAGTTGAATCTTTCAAGTAAAAGAATAGTCACCAGGATGGAGTGATATGCATGTCCTTTTCATTCATTCATTTTTATTTATTTTTAGGTATTTCCTGATATGGGGGCTGGCAGTTCCTCAACTAGAAATCACTCACTGAGTACCCTGTAATGCCAATAAAGGTTTCTGTAAATTAATTAGATCACTCACCATTTGCGAAGCAATCAAGACCAAATGTAACGTTGTCCACAGCAATGTTGGCCTGTGAATTCCAACCCCATGTAGCCACGAACTGCAGGCGAAAGCTTTGGAGAGGAAGAGAGATAGGCAAAGAAATGACATATCTCTGTGTATGTATGTACACACACACACACACACACACTGCAGATTGCTTCTTGAGGACTTCCACAGATTGTACACATCTCTTCCAAATAGAAGCTGCAAATCATCAAGATTACTTAGAAAATAAGCACACTAGAGGACTTCACAGTGCCCCTGTACATCAGTGGTTCCCAAAATTGGGTCCCCAAATGTTCTTGGACTAAAACTTCAAGAAGGCTTCACATTAGCTGTGCTGGCCAGGATTTCTGGGTGTTGAAGTTCAAGAGCATTTGGGGACATATGGTTGGGAACTACTGCTAGACATGAATAAACCAATAAATAGCTTTGACTATGCGGACCTTTGTCAGCAAGGTAATGTCTCTGATTTTTAAGGTACTGTCTAGGTTTCTCGTCACTTACCTCCCAAGAAGCAGGCGTCTTTTAATTTCGTGGCTGCTGTCACCATCTGCAGTGATCATGGAGCCTAATAAAGTAAAATCTGTCACTGCCTCCATACCTTCCCCTTCTATTTGCCAGGAGGTGAGGGGAATGTCCTTGCCCCAATTCCATAAAACTCAGGACAGCCCATAAACATGAACATAAATATACCTATTGAAACACACACTGATTTATTTATTTATTTATTTATTGCAAAGAGCAACCTAACTTTTAGGTGATGGAGTGGGCGGTGGGGTAGGGCAGGTTTAAGAAGGGACAAATGTGGAATGCCATGCATCTAAACAAAGAGGTAATATGAGGATTTACACCCTTCTCTCCATCACTGAGAATGGAGACAGTAGTAAGGATTTAATTCCAGTGATACCATTACATAATCAATCAGCACAGGAGCATCAGTGGCTTTGGTTACAAAGACAATGGGAAAAACAGATCTCGGAAAAGCTATGTATTTGGACTACAGTTTCCCAAATCCCCAGACCAATGTGGCTATTCTGACATCTGGATTCTGGGACCTATGATCCGAGAGTAGTTTCCAAGTCCTGTTGGAGATGTGATTCCATCTTCATTCTTTGCCTCCAGACTTCAAAGTGAGGTCACTGAGGCTGCAACTATGGAGGTAAATAGTATGGGATTTGCTACAGAACTAAAATGGATATATTCAACTTTTAAAACTGATCGCAGGATGCCAAGGCCAATGCGAATCAGCCTGGCCCTTTTTGCTTCTGGAATGGAGTTTTTTCTCCTTGGCACTGGAGGCGTTTACTTTTTTCTAGCTGGGGTGATTTGAACAGCGTTTTTCTCATGTGATCAGTTGTTTCATTCACCAAAAGGATAGGATGTGTGTCATTGTGGGTGGTATTCTGGTGATGTACTAAGCTGGGCATGAGTTTTAAACAGTGGGAACACCCATTCCCAAGATCTTTCTCCTCAAAGTTTTTTTATTTTTTAAAAACAAATACCAAGTTTAGTGCTAGATAACCTTATCACTGCATTGATTTATTAGTTCAGTACTAGATCACCTCTGCGTGGAGAAAAATTAAAGATAAAAATTGGTATGAAATAGAAAGAACTCCAACCTGCTACTGAGGACTACTTTCTGTGTTTCTGTGGCATGTGTGTATGTTTTTGCACATGAAGGAAAAATTTGGGAGAGTGTCCCTTTTCCTCAACACTGTGGAACACTTTAAACAGCCCACCAGCTGTACAATGAACTATAAAACGAGAGCTGGAGATTGACAGAGGGCGGGGTCAAAGGAAGGACGGCCATGGGCTGTGGCAGAGGTCAGACTGTATTTGCACTGAGGGGGCCTATCTGGAAACTGGCACTGAAGCCATCTGCAGCCTCTGTGTGATCACCTAAACCAAACAGAAGCATAAAATAGGTTGCTAATCAAGCCACAGTGTAGTCACAGTTTAAGAAGCATCTATGCAGCCACACTTTTTATTCATTCATTTGTTTGTTTGGGGCAACATGATTTCATCACATCTTCCCACTTGCAGTATCATTCACAGTTTGCTGAGATTGTTATGGAAAGAAGAAGACAGCCCTCTTTGAAAATAACTTGAAGAGGAGCCGAGGAGGGCAACACAGGGACTGCCCAGAGTCACAGATGAACTGAGAAAGTCCATATGGTTTGGAGGATGCAGCAAGAATTCCATTTTCTTTCAAAATCTTTTTCAGGCTGATACTGGCAACTTGGTGACACTGAGATATTTTGAGCCACCATCAGCCTGGACTAGTGGCCACCGTCTTACGCTTTTTGGAGCTGTACTCTAAAACATTCAGAAGGCCTACTTTTCCCATAATATAAAATACTAAATATAAAGAAAGAAATAAGAAGAAATCATTTAGGGCTAAACCGTTGCAAAGTTTGAGGAGAAAAACATTCCACAATATTTTAAAAAGTAAAGTACCACACAAAAGAAAGAAAAATTGACCAAAAGAAGAATTCTGAAAGATAAAATTATGATTACATTACCCTGATATTTATTAAGTCAAATTAAACATCACAAAAATGCAATGTATTTCCAACTGTGTGTGTAGGGTATCCACAAAAAATGTTTGATTGTGTATGCTATGGCCTTCCTGTTTTGTAAAGTAAATGATGGTCAGTATACCTACAAATTATAGAAGGCAGGCTTCTTAGAGCAGGACCCTAGAAAGCACCGTATAGACCAGTGACACAGGATATGCTCCATTTTAATTATGGATACTTTTCTTGATATTACGCTTACCCGTTCTGAAGCCTTGGCATTTCCAGAGTTATAAGGAACCAGTGATCACCCCAGCTGCCCGTTCTTTCCCACACCATTAGCGGGCTACTGATTTCATCTGTCTCTTCTTGCACCATGAGTGAGAGTGTTCCATTGTAATTGCCAAAAATGTAGGCCGAGAACTGGACCTAAAGAGGACAATGACAGCAAAAGGAAGAGTCAGAGAGAAGCTGTTGATAAGAGTCTTCCTGAGATATCTACAGCATATGAAGAATATTGACTGGGGCCACAACTGTACTTACAAAATAAACCAAAGTAACTTTGCACTCTTTTTTTGGTCTTTTCTTTCCCTTTAATGAAAAATAAGATTAGTCTACATTGTGCTAAACCAGGCTGCTTGAGGTATGATGTGGTTGATCCTTGCCTGTGGATGCAAGGGTCACCCCAAATGACACACTGCACTTCAAAGCCCTGGCTGACATGATCTAAACTGATCCAGGCAGAGATAATTTGGCCAACTAGTTGCTCCTTAATTGGTTTCCACACAAGCAGATCACACAGTCAGATCAATCTAAAACTTCAACCACGTGGAGCAAGGCACGGATGACCACAACTGTTTTCTGGAGCTGAAAAGCATCCATGTAGTACTACATCCCATATTCATGCACAAAGCTGTCAGAAAACAATATGTGTCAATGCCTGCATTACTTTCTCCACTCAGCTGGGGCCAGGTTTGAAACCTCTTTGAAGGAAGAGTACTTTATTTATGAGAGGTCAGGAAGCAGTTTGCTGTCCAGAATAAAGGCAACAAAGCTTCTACCATGTAAAGTAATAGAGGTTAAGAAGAGGTCAAGATGAAAGGAATACAATGCCCAGCTACAGTTGGGTTTTTTGTAGTCCTGCAAATGCAACCTAAAGTTATTTGACCAACTTTCTAAACATGGCCAAAGTTCTTCATTTTTCCACCTAGGCTAAACTGCAATATTTACACTGACAACAGGCTATCAGGCTAATCATATGTAAAAATCCTAGTATATTATACTGCTCTTCATTCAGATAATTAATTACCAGAGAAATTGCCATGTTAGCTTGTAGCAGCAGAAATGAAAAGAGGCTTGTGACACTTCAAAGACAAACAGATTTATTGTGGTATAATAATGCTAACAATGCATAATCATCTGCATGAAATACTACCCTGCTTTGACAACTACAATTTATTTACAGTTAAGTTCAGGAGAGATGAATGCTAAAGGAAGGTCATGAACTGTGGGAAGTACAAACTATAGCTTTTCAATAAATGCTATATTGAAAATACAGTATCTCCAACATCTCCAATGTTCTTGAACAGATCTCTGGTTTTCCCTTTTCATTCCTTTCCTCTATTTCTTTGCACTGTTCATTTAAGAAGGCCCTCTTGTCTCTCCTTGCTTTTCTTTGGAAATCTGCATTCAATTTTATGTAACTTTCCCTATCTTCCTTGCATTTTGTTTGCCTTCTCTTCTCTGCTATTTGTAAGGCCTCGTTGGACAGCCACTTTGCTTTCTTGCAGTTCCTTTTCTTTGGGATGGTTTTTATTCCTGCCTCCTGTACAATGTTACAAGCCTCCATCCATAGTTCTTCAGGCACACCAAATTTAGACGACCCAGACAGTGTGGTTGCTGACCTTGAGCCAGACATCCTGGAAAGTGAAGTCAAGTGGGCCTTAGAAAGCACAGCTAGCAACAAGGCCAGTGGAGGTGATGGCATTCCAGTTGAACTATTTAAATCTTAAAAGGTGATGCTCAGTCTACATCCCAATCCCAAAGAAGGGAAGTGCCAAAGAATGCTCCAACGATCGTACAATTGCACTCATTTCACATGCTAGCAAGGTTATGCTCAAAATCTTACAAGGTAGGCTTCAGAAGTATGTGGACTGAGAACTCCCAGAAGTACAAGCTGGATTTCAAAGGGACAGAGGAACTAGAGACCAAATTGCTAACATGCTCTGGATTATGGAGAAAGCCTGAGAGTTCCAGAAAAACATCTACTTCTGTTTCATTGACTACGCAAAAGCCTTTGACTGTGTGGACTACTATGGCACATTATTAAAGAAATAGGAGTGCCTGACCACCTTATCTATCTCCTGAGAAATCTATATGTGGGAGAGGAAACAACAGTCAGAACTGCATACGAAACAACTGATTGGTTCAAAATTGGGAAAGGAGTCAACAAGGCTGTCTATTACTTCCCTCTTATTTAATTTATATGCAAAATACATCAGGCGAAAGGCAGGACTGGATGAATCCGGAATTAAGATTGCCGGAAGAAATATCAACAACGTCAGATATGCAGATGATACCACTCTGATGGCAGAAAGTGAGGAGGAGCTAAAGAACCTTGTAATGAGGGTGAAAGAGGAGAGTGCAAAAAACGGTATGAAGCTCAACATCAAAAAAACTAAGATCATAGCCACTGATCCCATCACCTCCTGGCAAATAGAAGGGGAAGATATGGAGGCAGTGACAGATTTTACTTTCTTGGGCTCCCGGATCACTGCCGATGGTGACAGCAGCCACGAAATTAAAAGACACCTCCTTCTTGGGAGGAAAGTGATGACAAGCCTAGACAGCATCTTAAAAAGCAGAGACATTACCTTGCCGACAAAGGTCCCATAGTCAAAGCTATGGTTATTCCAGTAGTGATACATGGAAGTGAGAGCTGGACCATAAAGAGGGCTGACCACCAAAGAATTGATGATTTTGAACTGTGGTGCTGGAGGAGATTCTTGAGAGTCCGCTGGACTGCAAGGAGAACAAACCTATCCATTTTGAAGGAAATCAACCCTGAGTGCTCACTGGAAGGACAGAACCTGAAGCCGAGGCTGCAATGCTTTGGCCATCTCATGAGAAGAGAAGACTCTGTGGAAAAGACCCTGATGTTGGGAAAGTGTGAGGGCAAGAGGAGAAGGGAACAACAGAGGGCGGGATGGTTGGACAGTGTCATGGAAGCTACCAACATAAATTTGACCCAATTCTGGGAGGCAGTGGAAGACAGGCAGGCCTGGGGTGTTCTGGTTCATGGGGTCACGAAGAGTCGGACACGACTTAACGACTAAACAACAACTGCCAAGGAAGAAATGAAGAGCTTCTATGCACAAGTAAAATGCTTCTTCACGTCTCAGTCTGTGATCTTGACAATAACCTGACTCTACATACTATCTGCATGAACTCGTCCAATCTGCATGAAGGCAGCCCAAATTTTTATCAAGGAAACCTGAATTCCTTAGATAACTACACAAATTAATTAATGCTTTACATATGCATTTTATATAATTTATTATGCTTCTGTTGGCTTGGTTGGGGGTGGGGAAGCAAGACAGTTAAGTTAGAAATACGACTTGATTTTTCAGGGAACAAATTTGTAGTTACAAGTTAACTGAGGATCCTGCAGTACCTACGCTGACCAATTTACATGATAAAATTGAGATGAATGATCTGGAAGTGGTTTCTGTTGGGGGTGGCTGGTGGACCAAGATGGAGGAGGTTACCTCACTCTAAAATATTATGGAGGTCATCCTCTGCCGTGGTCGTAAGCTGCCACAGGTATCTGTTTGTGGCAAAAGGATCCATTTCAAGTTATCGGAACAGCCAGCTGGTCTGACTGTGCTAGATACAGTTTATAAGACTGGAGCAGCATAGGAGATCTAAACTAGAGCTTGGAAGAAATATATTACAAATTACAACTCTCTCTAGAAAAACTATTTTTCATTGTAACAAGACACATGTCCTGAGGAATTAATTAGATTATTAAGACTGCTGCTTTTATTCATTTTCAAATAACATTTTTCTCATTAGTAGTTTTCAAAGGATGGGGTTATTGCCTCTTATCTTAATTAATTAATAGCAGCTCAGGACCTTCCTTGATGCCTGTTTCCAGTTCAAGTAATGAACAGCAGAACAAAGCAGAAAAGGAAGCGTGGCTGGATGCCATTCACATTTCCTAGAGTGGCTACAATGTTGTATCATTTAGCCACTCCACAAAATGTGGCTGGCAGCCAGCTAGACCTCCTTCATCATCTCACCCTGTTCTGCATTATAAGTGGTAGCAAGCAGAAGACACAACCCGTATAGATCTTAACTCCATTGGACCCTTGTTAAAAGTTAAGGGAGGAAAAGATAACCCTTGCCCCAACAGCCTTTGATCTCTCATAAAAGGCACAATTTCCCTTCAATTTCCCAAAGCTTACTGCAACAAATCACTGATTTTTTTTCGGTCTTATGATGTAACAAATCAACTTTCTGCTTCCTAACAAGTGACATAAGCTATTTTTAAAACTAACATTCCAAGTACTGATCAAAACATATCAAATGGGAGAAGGTTTAAGAAATCAAGAAAATGGTCTTCATATGAATGGTCCCAACACATGAGGAGGAACTGCACAAGGATAACAAAAGACATACCTGGTAGATTCCACTGGAAAGTCTGGCTGGGAGACTAGCACTATATGCCTTAGCAATGCCACTTGTGCAACCACTATCTACATTCAGGTACAGAAAGTAACCTGGAAAAGAATGGTAAACTGAAGTTTTTATAGAAAACAAATTCAGCAGAGGCTGTGTTCTGGTGAAATTCTCAGCAAAATTCGACCAGGATTTATCATAATCAACATGGTAAAAGCATGTTCTTATCTTCACTCTGCAGAATAATATTCTGTGGCATGTCTTAGATATGCATGAATCAAGATTTCCTGTACATGGCATGGACCAGTTATGTAGCTGACCTGAATCACCGTGAGTGGTACTGGAGGCAGCTACAGATGGCCTAGAGCACCTGAAGGAAGTAGGTACTCTATTTTAGACATAAAACTAGATGATGCATTCTTTGATTGACAGCAACACACACTCCCAATGGATTGAAGAGTCTTTCACATACTACAGCAAGTCCACACTTTATTGCGTGAGGATTTCTACTGATAATTGATGGTAGGGTTAAACCAGTGACTTAGGTCTCATACCAGATTAACGACAGTGGCCTTCGGCCAGATAGGCAGCATAAAAATTAAACAAACAAATGAAATATACAGTATATTTCATTTTATTTAATCAACTATTTATCCTTCTCACAAAACTTTTGGATTTGTAGATAAATAGAAAATATGCAGATGAGTGTGCACTTCCAAGTTCAGGGTCACATGGCTTCTCCCACAATAGATTAGGGCAAAACGCATGAGAGAAGGAAGAGTTACTCATATTTTCTTTATTGGTTCTGCTCTGGAATATCCAAAATATTCCTCTGTTTCAGGCTGAAGTGAAGGGTGGCAAATTTGGAACCTACCTCTGGTGGCATGTAAGGCAGATCCTCCAAGCAAATCTTCATGTTTCTTTGAAAAGCCAGCAAGAGACCATGAAAAATCTGCATTGCCATCCAAAGACCAGCCGCAAAGACCTTCATCAAAAGAACAATGTGCCTCCACTGGGAGATTTTCTGTTAAGGAAAGAGTGGTAGTAGGAGAAGAAACCAAACAAGGTGAGTGATGTACACTGCATTACAGTTTGCTCTGCTTGTTGAGTTTGGTTGAAATTCACATTTCTTCCAAGAGATTGTTTAAGACAGGGTGGACCACTTCAGTGGGTCTAGTGAGTCAAATTTTCAACTCAGCACCCTACCTGGAAACAACAGAAAATGTTTTGTTTTGATATAAAAACTAGATGTACCCAAACATCTGCTTCTGGTTTGGATAGGGAGTTGGGAAGTTCCCATCTTGTTCTATGTAAAAATTGCTGTTCACAGAGGCCTCTCTGATGTTGAGAAGACTACATGCCATCTGCAGTCTACACTTCCTCTCAGTTTAAGGCTTTATTTCATCTTGTTCTAACTATGGTGCCATGACTCATTACTACATCCAAATTTATTTTGATGAAAATACTATTTTGCCTTTTTATCCTGCCATCTTTCATTTGACCAAGTCCTCAAGGCAGATCACAATAAAAGCAACAACATTTAATAACACATTCTGGCTGCCTAGAAGCCTGTATTCATGTCAGCATCCTGAAAAAAAGTAGAAGCTATCTCCAGCAAGCAGGGCTCTGGAACAGGTTATAGAAACGCTAGCGGAAGGCAGGAGTGTTTCAGGTATAAATCCTGCAGGCTGCAGCTACAAGCTCTGTGAAGAGAGTGATCAAGTAAATTTTGCTTTCTTTCTAGATAATAGCCTGTCACAAACTATTGCCTTCTAGATCCATTTGGCTACAACAACCATCAACTCTAGCCAGCAGGCCATTGATGGTATGAGGTCCAACATACACAGAAGCAGTAGGCTGAAATAGATGTACCACAGCTGTTTCTGGGACAAATTATAAGGTAGCAGGGAGTGGGCCCACAATCCTTACAGAAGCTGACAAGTAGGAACCCACTGAAAGGTTGTGTGAGGGAGCAGGACCAATGCTTACCACAGATAGATACATTATCCTTGGCAGTGGGGCAATCGGTGTTGAAATCACAGACCTGCAGCTGACTGACACAGCCCCCCGGTAGGCAAGGGGCAGCAGAACCCATGTTGTGTTTAGAAACATGCAATCCTTCCTTGTCTAAAGCCAAAGAAGAACAGAGAAATCATAGAACAATGCAGACTCTAGATCCACAATAAGTTCTTTTCCTTGTTATTCACACAGCAGTGGAACAAGAAGATGACTGAATTTTGACAATCAGCTAGTAGAGGTCCGTTGCACTTATTTATTTAATACAATCTAATACTATCTCAGTTTTCAGTTCAGTCAAGAACAAATGCATCCATGGACATATATTACGCATTACATGAGTTTGAGGAGCTTAGTCCTCTCCCGCCAGCTAAAACTCCTGCAACAAGTCTATCTCTAATGACATCAGGCACATCCACTGTTCAAAAATAGCAAGCATTGACATATTTATATTTTCCTCATCTTCTGTATCCACACCGAATGTGAAAAACATTGAAAAGAATTTAGCTGCATTCAATTGCCAGCAGTAATTAATCTGTAATGGCTAATTTATACATGCAAATAATCACATCCTCAAGGCAGGGAGAACCACAGTCCTCACTACTTCCATCTAACTCTGTGGCATTCCAAGGGAGCTGTTCCCCCTTGAAAAGACCAGTAATAAGAGAATTTAACCCTAAGCCTGCCAGCTTTCCCAAGAGAAGGTCCACCCAGGCAAGCAAACAGCTGAGTGTCACTCGTGAAATTTAAAAGAGGTAGTCATGTTAGTCTGTGCTAGTATATCAGGCAAAACCAAAAGAAAAATAAAAAATGTATAGGATAAAAACATTGTGGCATCTTAAAGACTAACTGCCATATTTTAATGAGAGCCTGTGTGGACATGTCAGTTTCCTCACACCTGGCTGGAATTGATTCTGACATAAGGATGTACATCCTCATTTGTCTTGTTCTTGCACGCAAAGACAAGGGACCCCAAATTTATTCTTTGCACCCCATGAGACGTAAATTACTTGCAGTGCTCTCAACAAGAGAAGACAATGAGAACAAGAAAGCTTTTTTTGCACAAATTAAGCAAAATTGTGCAAATAATGCATTTACACTTTTCCTCGCAATAACACTGAGGTTAGAGGTGCCAGATCTCCATGCAATTCAAAATCTGTGTATAACTCTATAGGATAGAAAAACAGAGGTGTAATATCTTCTCCGCATCTCCAGAACTGTGCACTTCTGTGACCTTCCATGACCCGTGTCAGCCTCCTGGCATACCCCAGCACCCTTCCCAGTCATCACAAGGAGCCACCAGGCCAGGACAAAGGGCTAACTGGGTTGATGCCTTTGTAACAGGAGCCACTGCACTGCCAGTAACAGGGGAATTGGTAAGTCCATAAAATTTTAAAAAATCCATATAAAACCCAAATTGCTTGGACCTGTGCAATTTAAGGGAGAAATGTAATGCTTCAATGTAATAGAGTAAATAAATCCTTGTCCCTTGAGCTAATGCTCTGGCCAAAGAAGTTGGAAAACTAAATTTGGTATCACTTTCCCCCTTTGGTTGAGTGAGGAAAGCAATGTTTAAAACCTGCTGACTATTTCTTTCCATTGTTCAAAACATATCGTGAAGTTCTCATTTTCTCCACTGACATTTATGCACAGTATTGGAAACGTTTCTACAGACAGACAGACAAATTCTAATCAGAAACATGTACATTTCGAAGAGCCATAAATGGGGTGAGTGTATGCATATGGCCTGTGCGTCTTTGTTTGGAGAACTGGGTTGTTACACTCAATCCACAGCTGCCTAAGCTGTAACCATGAAACAGCAACCAGTCTCCTGATGCACATCTAAGAGAGACATGCCTGACAATTTCCACCTTGCTAAGAACTTTTGGGACATTACATCTAAGAGCAAAGTGCCTGGCAAATAGCTGCCATGAACATTTGGACTTTCAGTTCTTCACACTGGTATCAACTTGAAGAAATTGTGCTTGTTTTTTGTTTTTTTGATCCATGAAAGCTTGTGAATTGCACCATGATTTTTTGAATGGCCCATAGAGATATTGCCTATTTTTGCATTTGTATTTTATTTTGTTTGGACCATACGGTTAACCCTTACTTCCAAGTTATTTAAGACCCTATAGATAAGCAAGTAAACCTCAGAGGTTCAGCCCCGGATAACAGACAGGTGACCGTTGCAGGTTTGTATTTTATTTTGTTTGGACCACACGGTTAACCCTTATTTCCAAGTTATTTAAGACCCTATAGATAAACAAGTAAACCTCAGAGGTTCAGCCCCTGGATAACAGACAGGTGACCGTTGCAGTTGGTGGACCTTCCAGCATGAGTCTCTCTAGGGAGTGGAGTTGGATTATCAATGAGCAAAATTCATTGCTTTCATTGCCGCCTAGAGTGTCTGTGGACCTTCCAGCATGAGTCTCTCTAGGGCGTGGAGTTGGATTACCAATGAGCAAAATTCATTGCTTTCTTTTTCAGTTTTCCCTTTATCCTATCACCTGTTTCTTTGTGTTTGCATTATATGCCATTGTACAAGTATATTGATAAATCGCCCAGTCGGGTATAAATCACTCAAGATGCTTTCTACTGTTACATATTTTTCCACTAAAATATTATCCAGCAAAGTCATTTGAAGTACCTGACTATAAACAAATAAATAAATAAATAAAAATGTTCAGTTTTCCCTTCATCCTATCACCTGTTTTTTTGTGTTTGCATTATATGCCATTGCACAAGTATATTGATAAATCGCCCAGTTGGGTATAAATCACTCAAGATGCTTTCTATTGTTACATATTTTTCCACTAAAATATTCTCCAGCAAAGGCATTTGAAGTACCTGACCCACAAGAAAAATAAATCTCTTACATGTCATTGCTGCTTCCATGACAAACAGACAGGAAAGGAGGCTGAGAAGAGTGATTGTAAATGTTTTTTAAAAATCGAATAAAATCAGAAATGTATTTATGACATTCTAAAATCAGTGCATTTATTTTATGTTCTACTAAACCTTTGTTGAAAACATGTCTCTTCTCCCCACATTTATGAAGAATTGCTGAACTAAACGTGGTTATAATCTAAAAGATTCTCTATGCTTGTTTGAATTTTAAAAAAGTAAGCATGGGCTAGATGTATTTGTTGATAGTCTAAATCTAGTGTCACACTAGATGCCTGACAGGATACAGGAACATTCTCTTTCTCCCTCTGTACTACAGCTGCCCCAAAACCTATTCCTGTGGTTCTGAAATATGTTTTGAGGGTATAAAGTTGAGGAGGCAATAGGGAAAGGGGGCAATCTCCCCGCACCATTCTGCGGAGAGAAGATATTCAAACACTTGAAAGGTAGTCATACAGAGAAGGGACAGGATCTGTTCTTGATCACCCCAGAGTGCAGGACATGTAATTATGGTCTCAAGCTACACAAAGCCAGATTTAAGCTGAATATCACGAAAAATGTCTTAAAGCAGTACGACACTGCAACCAGGGACCTCAGGAGGTGGTGAGCTCTCCAACGCTGGAGGCATTCAAGAGAAAATTGGAAAGCCATCTGTCAGATTTGTTTTGATTTGGATTCCTATGCTGAGCAGGGGGATTGGACTCAATAGCATTATATGCCCCTCCCAACTCAATTATTCTATGATTCTGCGATTCTATCCCACCAGCGGAACAACCAACCCTATTGGGACCCACTCTATTTTATTTATGTTAAACCTGCACCTTTGCAGCATGCAAAAAGCACTGTGTTGTTCCCCTTTTATACATTTTCAAATAACACTGTAAGAGAGTGAGGGAAAATAGTTTTAATTTTAAGCATATTTTTCCACAAAATGTTTCCTTAAGTAAAAGTTCCACCCACATATACACACTAGTAACACTTTGTCTTTTACATTTGTTTACTTTGAAGCTTCCAGCTGAGTCTCATGCTGGAAGAACAGCTGGCCCTGAGCACTTTTCCCGCCCTGTGGTTCAGTAGAGCAAATCTTTGATTTTCCAGAATTGTATAAGCAAATTAAGACATACCATGAAAGCAGTTTCTGAGCTGCAAAGAGCCAAGTGCCAAAAGCCCAGAAGTCTTTTCTCCACAACTTGAATACAGCAAAGTGATCTCAAAGGGCCGCTCATTTTGTCCAACTGAACCTATCATCACTTTCCACTTCACCCTGTAAAAGAAAATCAAATGAATCGCCCTGACTAATAATACTCCACATGCATGTAGCTCTTGGAGTGCTGAAAGTACTTTGTATGTATTATTTCAGCTATGTATCTTTTACAACAGTTTACAACAGTACTGATCAGTTTTAATATTCTTATATTGCAATGAGATAGAGGCTATGTATGAGACATGATGGCTTGTGAGGCAACACAAAGTCCTGGATTAGGCCTTAAGTATTCCTAACCCAGCACAATATATTGATTCAATTGCAAAAAACAATCAAACAAAAAACAAACAAATGAACAAAACCCTTTGGTTTATGAATGTGGGATATTGTGCTTCCTGTATCCATGATTCAAGATGCCAGGAAATGGCCCAATATTGCTGCACAATAACGCGTCCATGTAGCCAGAAGGAAAAAGAGTCCCAAGCTTTACATCGCAAAGGGGAGCTTGAATGTTGACAACACCAATGGCAGCAGTCAAGATGGTCTACAGCAGTGGTTCCTAACCTTGGCTAACCCAGGTATCTTGGATTGCAACTCCCAGAAACCCTGGTTAGCAAAACTTGTGGTGAAGGCTTTTGGGAATGGCAATCCAAGAAAACCTGGGTTACCCAAGGTTGGAAACCATTGGTCTACAGGATACCATCTTGTACTTACTACCATTCACAAAGTGACATCATGCAAGGGGAAATCTTTTCTTATTATGCAATTAACCATTTCTCACTCAAATCCAAAGCAATTGCCAGGACTGTTTTTCAACAAGTGTGAACGGTAGTGAGCAGAACAGGATATCCTGTAAACCAGTGGTCCCCAACTCTTTTGACACCGAGGACCAGTTGGGGGGACAGAGTATGTGGGGGGCACCGCCATGTTCACATGCATGCATGAAGGGGCAACGCTTGCTCACATGCATGGGGGGGCATGCGGGGGGGCGGATGATCTGTCTCCGTGGCCTGGTCTGGCCAAGGCCACGGACTGGCACAGGGCTGCGGACTGGAGGTTGGGGACCCCTGCTGTAGACCATCTTGACTGCTGCCACTTGTGCTGTCAACATTCTGGCTGCCTTCTGCTATGTAAAGCTTGGCATTGTTAAAACTTTAAATGGACTAGAGCTGTAACTTGGGAGAGACTGTTGCAGGGATAGACTGTTGTCAACCCCAAGGGCATCACATCCCATCTGCTTTGTTCCACTGCCCCCTGATTGTAGCACTTATAAATCAGGGGTGGGCAACATGTGACCCCTGTGATCTTTTTGGAGATCTCCATGTGAGTAAACAATTAAGGCAAACAGATTTCTAGTCTAAAAGTTGTGATTCTCTGTTCCTGGAGGCCTCTAGAAACACATATTTTCACTTCTTAAGTATGTGTGTGTGTGCTTAGTCCTATTATTAAAAAAAACAAAAATGGGGTATTTCCTGTTCACCTTTAGAAAACTCATTTAAAAGAGTGATTTTGGGCTCACCACAGCTCATGGAAAGTGCTGAGTGCATGAATTTGTTCCACAAGATCCCTGAGCTGGCCTGCTCCTGCCATAAGGACTGGGGGGGGGGGAGTAAACCCTAGGAAATGCGGCTGCAAGGGAGAAATGACAACTCTGCTACCACCAAGGGCAAGCTCTCCCTTTCCCACACCAACCATCAACCTTGCGTATGAAACATTACAAGGAGCTTGGGAGTTGTCATTCCTGCCCCCCTTTTTTGGGGTCATATCTACTGCTTGATGTTTTCTTTGCAGCATGAGTCAACCTTCGTTTTGGTTTAGAGGTTGCTAGTTGGTTTGTTCATTCATTGGAAACTTTTGCTGCAATACTGCTGCTTTAACTTTATCAGTTACCGTCATTTTTTTGTGCCATATTTAAATGTCACAAGGCACTTTTGACCAGAAAATGCCACAGAAATAAACTGTAATTTAACAACTTAACATTATCAGTGTATCATTTTATTTATAAGTTGTTGTGCTACTTATGATTTAATCAAACACATTTTTACAATATATGTAGGTATTTGTTATATGGGGGTATCTGGGAAGTGGCTAAAACTCATGAAGAAGTTACTTCTCTTTTTGGACTTTAAATGATATCCATTACGTACAAGCAACAGACTTTCTAATACTAAAACTTCAGCAATGATTTTGCTTCCATACATTGTGTGGCCCACAGGCTCTGACTCACCATGCTACATTGATTAGCGCATCACAGCCTCCAGAAATCTGTAGCACTGAGTGGCTCTATTTTACCACTATTGTGTATAACAAGAAAGCATCCAAGCAGCTTTCAAAATGTAATAATGAGTACATTATGCTAATATACCACTACAGAAGTATGTCTTGTCAGTCCTAGCAGCATCTAGTAACATATTTTTCTTTAGAGCATGATTTTTAAAGCATAGAAATCAGTAGGTAATTGGAAGAAGAAATTGTGCATTAAAATGTTTGAAGGACCTGCCATAATTGTGGAGGTCCAGCCAGGTATTCATTTTCTAAAGCAAAATCCTCACAAACCTTAAACTGCTAGATTTATGTGCAGGGGCTTCTCTCCAATGCCATAAATAAGCTTCCTTCTATATTTGGTGCAAACAGGAACTCTATAGAGCCAATTTAATTTTCTTAATGGAACCCTGAACAATGACCTCTGTATACAAAAGAAGACAGATGGTTGCAGTAGTAATTCAAATAAACTTAGCCTGGCAATGCATTTAGCATTGATTTTATGTCTGGAGAAAATATCTCATTAAATTTGCTAATATTACTCCATATTTAAATACAGATATTTAAGCTGCAATATTGGGATCAACAGGTGCCTGTGCAACATTAAGAGGGAAAAGTTTGGCATTGTAATCCAAGCTTGAATGGATGCAACTGGCACATAGGAGGTTGCCTTATACTGTCTGAAGTCCCACTCCTTAGCATAGTAAGTTGCAACTAGAGTAGACCCATTGAATCAATGGAACCTATAGAGTACACGACTCACCAGATCCTCACAGATTCAATGAGCCTACTGTAGTTGTGACTTACTACATTAAAGCAGAAGGATTTCAGCCAGTGAGTAAGACCACAGGTCCATCTAGGCTAGTACTGTCAACTCTGACTGGCAGCAACTCTTCAGGGTTTCAATACAGGATTCTTTTTGAACCCTACCTGGAGTACTCGGGGTTGAACCTGGGGCTTTTGACATGCAAAGCTGTTGATTCATCACTGACCCTTTCTTACTATTGTAGTACAGTAGCAACCAGACAATATTTGGTTGGTTCACATTTTAATGCAAAGGTTCCTAATCAGCATTTCCTGAACCAATATGTAATCCAAAATACAATTACCATATTCTTTGGCATCTACATTATCTGGAATGTGTAAGGCTGTCTACAATCACAAATGCATATAGAAAAGTGTGTATTGCACGTATATTATGCATTACATCTGGCAAAACTGTGTATCAAGACACGTATAACTGGAGATATGTATGTGAAAAATGTGTATGAAGGTTCATGCAGACCATTAACAAAATCAGAACCTGATGCAGAAACAAGATAAAATGAGGGTAAGGTTTGCAAAAGGAGAACCTGAATAAATCAGAGTGGACAGAACACCCAACCCCTACTTATCCTACACACAAAAAAAACCCTTGCATGTTTTCGGCAGCTGTCTCTAGTTGACCCAACAGGTTCCAAGATGAACTGTGAGAACATAGTTGGCTGCTCTCATTCATGGATTACCTCACCTTTGCTAAAACCTCACAGATGAATCAGACTGTCATGTCAGCGTAAAGCATACCTCCTTTCGAAAACAAAGAAGTACGTTCTGAAACCATTTCATTTTTAAACATTCCACCATAATTTTGTGCATGCATCTTAATTTGGGATTATAGATGACAGTGTCATCTTTTTGAATCCAACTCAAAAAAGAAATGGATTATTGAGTGGTGGTAGTTATATAGACAAAGTCCAGAGTTCCTGTGAGTGGCCCACTAGTGGTCCCTGTTTTGCACCACCAGGAGGCCTACCTTTTAACAATCTTCTAGGCCTACAAGCTGGGTTGTCTCAAGCCATATTGCTGCCTGATATGAAAGAAGAAGAGGGCTTCCTTCAGCCGCTCAATGGAGAAAAGGTGACTGGACTGGCAGTTGTATTTTACTTCAGTGTAGTGACCAGGGACATTAACCTCTATCACACCTAAAGGCAGCAGGCTAATTTAGGGGCTTCATTTTCAATACCTTGCTGCCATTTCACAGTATTTGCTGCCAGAAGTACATCGTTCTGCCCAATAGTAGGCCCGGCCCCACTTATGAGTCCTGGCCATGTACAGATAATAAGCAGCATTCAACCTGAAGCAAAGATGAAGAGTTTCTAAGCAAAGCAGAATGAGTTCCTTTTGTACTCTAAAGGTGGTAAAAATGGAGACTGCAATAAGCAGCCCCAGAGAGCCTTATAATCCCTGGCTGACAAAGAGACCTGTGGGACAGCGTTCTTAAGAAGCATATACCTATGTACACAGTCCAAGGAACTTGTTGGCAGTTGTCTCCAAGGACTGCATTTTTCCTGATTTGTTTTGTTTTGTTTTGTTACAGGGTCATCACTCTAACAAAGCCTCTCTATGTGCATAAACTATAGCCATTGTATCCAAATATTATGCCAGATCTGAACCAAAGTGATGTAGTCCCTCCTCAAGAAATCGGATGCATGTGAAAAGGGTTATTATGTGCCCTGCACTCTGGGGAGTTGGAGAACAGATCCTACTCCTCTTCTACATGACAATCTTTCAAGTGTTTGAATATCACCATCATATTTCCCCTTGGTCTCAAGGTTAAAAATCCCTCCCTCAAGGTTAAAAATCTTCAGTTCTTTCAGATTTTTTCTCACATGGCTAGATTCCCAGTCCTCTGACCATCCTTGTGGCCCTCCATCTGAACTTGTTCCAGGTTGTCTGCATCCTTCTTTAAGTGTGGTATCCAGAACTGAACACAGCACTCAAGATGAAGCCTAATCAGTGCTGAACAGAGGGGAATAAATACCGCATGGGTTTTGATACTTCTGTTAATGTATCCTAAAATAGCACAGCAATCCTGCATCAGACAGTGGAGGTAAAATTATCAATTCTTAATGAAGATTATTGTTCTTTTCAGTTGGGAAGGGGAAGCTACAGATGTCTGCTAAGAGAAGAGCTAACCTACCAGGCATCCTGGTCATGTCCTTCTTGGAGATGGATGGCTGTACTCTGGTTAGTGTCCACAGACTGCATTTCAGCAGAGAGTCCTCCCAGGGTGATGACTTGCGAATACACTGCCAGCTCTAATAAACAGGAGCTAGAACTCCAAGGCAGGATAGGGCTGTGGAGGCTGAACTTGCATCTGTCTGAAAGCCTGCTAGTGTTTAGAAGAAGAATATCCCCTATATAAGAAATGAAAGAGCCAAAGAAGAATGGGTGAAAGCTAGAGATCTGAGGAAGGAAATCAGAAATCATGAGAAACAGAAAAGAGTTAAATAAATGTATATACATTTTTCCTGATTTTTCCCTGAACGTTTTTCCTCCTTTTATCATCCTTATTAATATTCATATATGAAAGGAGGAAAAACGTTCAGGGAAAAATCAGGAAAAATGTATGTGGAATCGTATTGATTTAGAACAGTGGTTTCCAACATTGGGTAACCCAGGTGTTCTTGGTCTGCAACTTCCAGAAACTTCAGTAGCACAGCTGGTAGTGAAGGCTTCTGGGAATTGCAGTCCAAGAATATCTGGGTTACCCAAGGCTGAGAACCCACTAATTTTGAAGAATTTATTCATACTGGCTCAGAAGGAAATCTCACTATGCCTTACTCTCATGTAACCATCCAAAGGACTGCAGCCTTCATTTTCATAAATGTTCTTAAGTCAAGAAACCATCTGTCTGAGCATCTTGTTGTGTAATTAAAATCCAGCAAAAGTCAGGCTGTTCATCCAGTAGTTATCACTTCTGTGTTCTTCGCTGTGACACAGAGGTTTAAAATAAATGGGGGGGGGGAGAGAGAACCATTTGAAAAAGGAGGCCTTATTGTAAGAATGGGCAAAGTAAGAACTGTGAGTTCTTAGAATTCCTTAGAAGCCCTCTTCCAAACAGTCCCAAGCACCTCCATTCCAATATCCTCATTTTTTAAAAACTTATAAAGGCCTCTTATAACCTCTAGACCAGGGACATCATCAACAATCTTGACACTGCAGCTGCCTAAACCCAGGAGACTCCTTTTTTCAAAATCAACCAGATTGGTTTAAGTGATTTCTCATCTAAAACAAGCCTAGAGGGATAAAATGATGATGTGGAAGGCCTTCTTATCAGAAAAAAGGGGGTCAGGAGACATCAGCATGGGGGTAGCCTCCTAAAGGGGCAGAGCAGTATGGGTGGGAGGATGACCACACCAAGAACAAACATTATATGGAATCATAGATGAAAAAAAGTTTGAAGAATATCTATTACCTAAGAGAAGATGATCTAAGGGAAGCCATTAAGTTGCTGCCAGTGACATAAGGTCCTGCTTATCTACTGAGACAAAACATTCAATAGCACAGAAATCTCTTCCCTGAGACCTTGATAAACCATAGAACTTGGAAGATACCTAGTATCTCATCCCTCAACTTCCCACTATAGGAGTGGGGAGGCTGACAGAAAAAATGGTTCTCCCCACCATCACCACTGAGCTTTGTTGCAGCATTGGATCACCTACAGTTCAAGAGAGGGGGTGGCATCCAAGGGCTATGTTGTGTTGAACAGCCCCAGAGCAGACAGAAATTACGGAAGAAACTCATGCTGCTTCTAGCTACTCCAAAGCCAACAAACCACAAGGAACCCTCTTTTTCCATACCCAAATCCTTTGGCACATATAGAAAACAGAAGAAGGGTCCCTGGTGAAAACTAATCTTGGTTGTTAAGTGGCTAATCCAACATTTTGGACACTGAATATGGGTGGGAGCAACAGCATGGTTTCTTATCACCAGATTGTCGTTTAGATGGAGGGAAGGATGAAAATGAGGAAAGATGGTAATTTGGAAGTGGCTCGATAGCTCTGTGAGTTAGTTGTCTGACTGCAGAGCCACTGGTTGGGAGTTCGGTTCCCCATTGGGCAAACTGTACAGTCCCTAAATGCCCAGAAGAAGGGAAGCATTTCTTGTGTATTCTACTTCTAGAAAACCCTGGAAAAGGTTGTCATAAGTCAGAATCAACTTGACAGCACATTTTTAAAAAATGGAAAGGAAACATATATTTGAACTAGATCCAAGAGCTTTTGAATATGGTTACTGGAGAATATGGGGCACCAACTCCCACTGCTGGTAACATATGAATTGTCTCATAGTTTCAGCCTCTTCTGAATTTTTGCTGTTTGGTGGAGGAAACGTGCCAAACTTCAATAAAGAAAGGAAGAGCCAATACTCTCCCACTGAAGCCACATAGAGAACCTACAATATGTCTTTTGTATTCATTATAATTATTTTAATTCACAAACAGCATTTAGCACATGATGCAGTGCAATGAATGGATATTCTCTTTCAGAAAATAATTAATATGTCTGTGCTGTGACCCGATGACTAACAAATATGAAAAAAACAACAATTTATGTTTTAACCCATAACATTTTTTCAGTGGTACATATTACGGCAAATCAAGCAAAAGAAAAAAAAATTCCCAAACAAATGACTTCTTGGAAAGCAAAGATAATTAGCTACAAATATGTGTGCTGTGTACAAACGAACCTTCTAGATCTCTGTTGGATGAGCTGTTCTCCATAATCTGCTGGTCTTTTTGAGACATCAGAGCAAGAACCGAAGACAATAACCAGTCTGGTTTTCCAGAAGCATCTGCAGATGTAACCCAGGTACAGTTCCATCCAATGTGACATGGAGTTTCTGTTACAAAGCACACAAGAGAACCATTAGGCAATCAAGTTATTATTAGAACTGATGATGAATTTGAAAGTTATGAGTCACCTTCCTCTTTACAAGATAGAACAATGGTTATTTTTAAAATCACCTTTGCTAAGTATAAAGTGCTATGTATGGGCCTGGCAATGAATAATATAAAACAGGATGCATTTTTTTGCCCCGGGATATTTCCCAAAATATTGTAATGAAGCAACCAAGCAGCTCAGGAGAGGGAACTACCTCATTGTTTCACAACTGTTATCATGATGTGCCTTCGCTGGAAATTGAAGAAAACGATATGATTTTGTAATTGTGCCTTCTACCCTGTTTCCCTGAAAATAAGACCTAATCTGAAAATACACCCTAGTATGATTTTTCAGGATGCTCGTAATATAACCCTACCCCCAAAATAAGCCCCAGTTAAGTGAAACCCTGCCCTCCACCATTGTGCAGCAACCTGAAGAAGATGACACGAATGCATTTGAATAAACGTAGATCGTTGTACATGAAAAAAAAAATCCCCTGAAAATAAACCCTAATGCGTTTTATTGGAGCAAAAATTAATATATTTTGGGGGAAACACAATAGGTAAAAACAATCACACATTATCTGAAATCTACACCTGGATTCTAGGCCACTGATATTAAAGGTAAAGTTAGACACAACAAGTCTTGCGGTAGCAGGATTGCTTGGAATCAACCTCACAGAGATCAGTCCCAAATGTATTTTCCTCCTGTAGATCAAGTAAGTTCTTGTGCAGGGGTGTGGAGGTGTGGAGTTGCAATTCTGGAGCTCAAGTTGGCTGTCCATGGTGCTGACTCGCTGCCCTTCCCCATTACGTCACCTCAAAATCTATTTCTTATCCCTGGAAAAGTTGTACTCTTCTACATAACGTCTCCTTTTACTAATATGACAAGGCTACACTGAACAGATACATAACTGTTCATTTGTGGAGTACTAAAACATATACATTTTTACAGCGTATAAAAGGTAGCAAGAATGGCAGAAGGATTGTACTGACACCTAAGCCAGGATTCAGTTTATTGACATGTGCTCCTGTCATTTCAAATCTAGACAGAAACCTTGTTTTAATTTTATGTCTGTGCTTTAAACCAGGGGTCCCCAACCCCTGGTCTGCTGCTCGGTGCTGGTCCATGGCCTGGGCCGGACCAGGCCACGGAGACAGATCTCCCACCCAGCCTGCATGCATTCCCCCCGCACAGCCCCTTCGTGCATGCGTATGAGTGCCTGTGTGAGTGCCCCCACCCCTTCATGCAAGTGCCCCCGAGTGCCCCCGCCCTTCACGCCCATGCGCATGTGTACACAAGCACACACACACCCCTTTGCGCATGCACGTGAGTGCGTGGGTGGTGCCCCACCTTCCCCAACCGGTCCACAGTGTTTAAAAGGTTGGGGACCATTGCCTTAAACAATAATTGAAGATTCTAGGTGATCCTCGGCACCACGTTACAAAAAATAACATTACATTCTGAAAGCCTTTTTAGTGCAAATGATGGTAAACCTACTGACAACTTAGTAACAATTTTCCCTTTATTCCACAGCGGAGATACTCCTCATAGTAGGCATTCTTCAGTCTCAAAAGACTGTGATAATATGTCCTGAATAGAGGACTTGGAGCATCTAGTATGGCTGAGAAGGCCAATTTGAGAGTGGTAATCCCTCCCACACTGAAGACAAATACAATCTGTCCCACGTCCAGCTCCCTGATTATGCTGGTTTCGGGACTGCCATAACTGCACCAGAATGTCATAGGCACTAACTTTTAAAGTCTTTTAAACAGCAGTCCACATTTAAAGGGTTTCCTGTTCATGTCTGTAAAAAGCCAAAACAAGCATCAGAATATTTCTAAATATAATAAAAATTTAAAATGGCTGAACTGGATGTTTTGGTTATGATATAAGAGACCAGAGACTGAGGACTGTTTGTTTTTGCTAATATGTCTTGCAGTTCAAAAGATACTATCAAGAGTAGATTTGAAACTTTGCACATGGCATAAACCTAATTACTTTACTGCAGTCACTTGCGGAGCAGATCCACACAAAATCTAAAGAAGCATTACAACGTATTTCAGCATTTTTAGCCCCAGGCAAAAACTGCTCACCCATATCAGAACGTATATGGTTCACATTATTTTTATAGCTGGGTAGTTCTCCTTTGTTCAAAAGCCATAAATTACAATTAGTCCTGTAACTTTTCAGTAGTATTCAGATTGTTACATGGGGAAATACCCTCCCAAATTTATAAAAGTTAGGGGACCTTGGGGATTAACTGATATTTGCAAATCCATCAATAACTCTCCACTTCTTTATTCTGTGATTTTCCAAAGGCATTTCATGCCCCAGTGAAATGAACAAATTAAATAAACTGACTGCCTTGTCATGAATCTGCATTGCATATTATACAAAGAATGCATGTCATATGGATCTTGGTTTGAAACAAAAACAAAAACAAAATGATGCTAGTAATTCCAGATTAAAGAATATATAGCTTGTTAGTACATAGCATGGTTCAATCCAAATAAACAACCTCTGGGGGAAATGGGTAGGTAAAAAAAAATGCTCTTCTAAATCTACTTGGTTGAATTCATCAGGTTCTTTGTAGGGGTAAAGAAAGAGCTGAAGAAGGATACAAAGCACACACAAACTGAGAAAGATTGGCATTATTAAATCAATTATAGTTTCTTTCTGTACAGTTCAGATTTGCCAAATGCTACCAACAATGGCTGACATTCTGTTGTTTAGTGTAGTAATTTGCACCAGAGTAAGCCAATTGCATTAGTGGAAATTTGGTAAATCAGCTCCTCTGTAATCCAATTGATCCAGATGAACCTACTCTAATTGTAATTTACACTCTGGCTAGATACAGGGATCATATACCCCTCCATTACAGCAGCTTTACTGGCTACCAATCTGTTTCCAAACTGACTTCAAAGTGCTGGTTTTGACTTGTAAAAGCATGCCACTTTTATACCACCCCATAGTGCTTAAAGCACTCTTTGGGCAGTTTGCACGTTAATTATGCAGGCTACACATTACCCCCCCCCAGCCAGCAAGCTGGGTACTCAATTTACTGACCTCGGAAGGATGGAAGGCTGAGTGAACCTTGAGCCGACTACTTGGGATTGAACCTCAGCCTATGAGCACAGTTTAATCACTGCATCGCGAAGCTCCATGTAAAGCCCTTAATGACTTGGGTTCAAGCTATCTCAAACTGTATGTCCCCATATGAGGATCATCAGAGGAGGCTCTCAAGTCTCACCACCATTACAGGTGCATTTGGTGGGGACACATAAGAGGGCCTTCTCTGTCACTGCTCCCCAATTGTGGAACTCTCTCCTGGGGGGTGGGGAGGGAAGGCTGGCCTCATTTTTGTTGCTCTTCTACAAGCAGACAAAGACATTTCAATCAGGCTTTATCTAAGTGAGTTAAAAGGGGTTTCTTCAAACGGGACTGTTGCGTTTATATTGGTTTAAATATGTTTTTAGAATTGTTTATAACTGCTGGTTTCATTAATATATCTTTTTCATTAATTTTTATACTGCAATAATTTATTATTTTTAGTATTTAATATAACTTGCATTAGGCCCTAGGAGAAAAGACTCCAAGAGGATCAAATGGAAATAAGTGTTGCACCTGATTTACCCTGGGTGGGGTTTATCAGCCGCCACTTAGGGACTAACATTTTGTGGCTGGGAGTCTTCTTCCATAGCCCTCTGTGGTTTCAGAGTTTTTTTCTTGTGCTCAAGCTCTTGGCCATAGTTTGCTTCAGAGGTGAAATGGAGAGAAGAGCTTCCCACTCTGGTCCACCTGTGAAGTATAGAAAGGACAGGCCCAGCCCAGAGCAGGCAGTCTGCTTTGGAGTTTCTCCCACCCACTTTACCTCTTGTATGGGATTCTGCGTGTGCATGCATGCATTATGATTCTTGGCTCTGCAATTTGTTCAGTCACAGCTTTGTTGGTATAGTTTTTAACCATAAGATGAATCCAGCAGGACGGAGAAAGGGTCAAGTAGCTTTGTAACTTTCCCCAACAGTTTCATATTAGATGGTGGAGCAGAGAGGCCCTGGAAAAGCCCAGCCTGGGGGCAACTGTGCACCCTCTTCTCACAGAGAGCAGGCAGACTAGACAGTGGCATATCCCTGCAAGGCCATGTCTGGCTTCCTGTTTCCTTGGGTAACATCAGCCAGCAGGCAGGTCAACAGATGCTGATCCATCCTTTATCCTAGTGGACTAGGGGCATCTATAATCAAGAAAGTTGTGGCCCCTTAACCTTCAGTGGTTCCTGCGTTGTGCGGTTATTTCTGTGCCCCTGCTACCAACATCATTTGAGTTCAGCTAGCAAAGTAACAATGTCATATTCATAGCATGATGGGAATGTTCTAAGAACCAGAGGTCCATTACCTGAATGGGAAGAACGATCAGAAGAAACCATCCGATTCCTGCTTGGAGACAACCTAGGGGGTGCATAGTGGAAAGAAGGGGCTTTCTTCTCTGCTCTGATGGAAGTAGCAAGAACTGCATCGAGGAGAAAAAAACATGCAAAAGTAAACTAAAAAGAGTCTTAAGATTCTAATTTTTTTAACACAATGTCTTCCAAAACATACATTCCTGAAGTAAATGCTACCTAAAACAAAAAATAATGATTGAATAATAGTTATTTAAAATAAAACAACTGCCCCTCATTTTGTCCATTACTTGTCAATAAGGCTACCCAATTGTGTTTATTTGGCATGCCAGTGTATTCATACACATCCATGTAGAAATGCCCTCAAAGTTGGGGAAGATTTTTCAGGCTGTGTTACTGTAATGCCAAACAATGTTGCTCACCTTCATACCAAAAAACATTTTTGCTCATCATATCACAGCCAATGCAGTTGTATGAGATTGTGATGTTAGAATCTGTTTATGTTATTTATCACTTTCACTCAGAAATATAACTTTTCTTTCATAAACAGATTCAAGAGTCTTGCCATTTATCTTAGTATGTCTGTGCAATTTATACCGACATGTTTTGATGAAAACAAACATCTGTTTTCACTATATTTCATGCTGAGGAAACAGAGATAAAACTGAAGTTACTGAGATTTCTCATTATCCCTTGGGATCACTTGAGCCATTAATTCACAGTACTTACAGAAATTAAATGCTCAAACAAAATAGTATTAGGAGTTTCCTGGAATCACCGGGGTTAGGCTCTGACTTTTTCATAGTTCAAGGGAATAGGACTAGGTAAGCTTGTTACAACAACAAAAGCTCAGTCACAGTAGCTTTCTGTATATGTGGAATGTATGCTTAGCGAGCACCTTGTTTTAAATAACCCATTGTGTTACAGAAAAGGCACCAAGAGCACAAGGCCTGAATTCTTCCTGGAACAAGAAGACTTAGGAGTTGTAGTCAGTACCTAACTGCCTGTGTGTGTACTCTATCGGTTACATTAAAAGTTGGTGTTGCTCCTTTAGAACTGCAGAAGTTTGCCAACGCCTAACTGATTTTCAGATCACCATCCTAGGTAGACAATCCACAAGGGTATCATTCAGTTGGCTTCCCAGAGCCTTGTGAAACTATGGCCCAATAATAAGAACCTGCAACTGGGCTCAGTCCCCATCCCAAGACAGTTCAACCAGTTAAGTATCCACCCAGTCCTCTCTCGTGATGCTTTTTTTGTTTGGTATACTTTTAGCTACCTGTGTCCCAAGTGCATGGCTCCGGTAATGGTCATTCAGCTAGCTTTAATATAATCAAGTACCAAGGAAACTATCAGATGCCTTCTTTCATTCTTCAGTTGATATTTTTGTCTCCATCTTAGTCTGAGTCCAGAGCCAAATTTATGTGCAATTCCCTTTCAGATTGAGCACCCAATGTGTATACTTGGTCTTTGTTCTTGCATCCATACACCTCCAACAGAAGACTGGTTCTGCTGAAACCTACTATTTCTTTGAATGTGTGCATATGCACTTCTTTAGCAGGGCACTATCACAACTATCCCTGAAAATGCAATCTTAAATGAAATAGGTTTCTGGCTGTTAAAAACCTACCTGGCCACTTAGTGACTATAGAATAAAATGCTGTCTTTCAATTAATTCTTTTTAATTTATTGCCCAATGCCTTTATATGGTGATATTTATGATTTTAGTAGGAAAAGATACAATACTTCTCCGTAAGTTCCACTTATTCAAATGGGTCTGCAATTTGAATCCTTCTGTTACTCTCCTGCTTCCATTCTATCACTGCCTCTGAATCTCAGACCTCTTAAGGTACTGGCACAACTCTGCTGATCTGATAAGATTACATAGGTTTTCATGCTTCCCTGCTTTCTGCATAGAATGCCAATAATGTAATGTTTTTCTGTTCCAACAATGGTGTCTTCCTGAGATCCACCATCTCTTTAGTTTAAAATGAATACTGATATTTGCTTGAGCAGGATTGCTCATGTCCAGGTCCCTGCCTCAAAGTTGTTCAGCATCAAAATTATTTGGATTGAAAATGATTAAAATCACCCTGAGCGTACTTATTTATTTATTTATTGGATTTATATCACGCACCATCCGGCAACCAGGCCACTCTGGGCGGCTATAACAACAAGACAAACACCACAATATCAATACATGATAAAAAAATAAAATAATACAAACTTTCAACAGATACAATAACTAGTAGGATAAATTAAAACAGATAACTATGAAGATGATAAAAAGGATGATGAAAGGATGGCAAAAAAGGATGATAAAAGGGAAACTGAGATATCAAAAACTTAATGCCCAGGGAAAGCCTGGCGGAAGAGCCATGCCTTCAATGCCCTAACCCTAACCCTAACTTCATCCAGCAAGGGCGGCAGGCGGATCTCCATGGGCAGATTGCTCCACAGGCGGCGGGGGGGGGGGGAAACGGCTGAGAAGACCCAGTTTCTTGTTCTTTCCCTCCGGGTCTCCTTTGAGGTCAAGGTCCTCAACCGTCCTGTCTGTGAAGAACGGGTATAATGGACAGATCTGGCTGGAAGCAGGTGTTCTGCTACGTACCAAGGTCCTAAACCATTTAGGGCTTTGAATGTTATCATCATAACCTTGGAATTGATGAGAAAACAAGTTGGCAGCCAATGAAGGGCGGCCAGAATGGGGGAGCTATGCTGAAATTTCTTCACCCCATTTATTAATCTGGCTGCCGAATTCTGGACCAGTTGTGGTCTCCGCATCAACCTCAAGGGTAGTCCCACGTAGAGAGCACTGCAGTAGTCTATTCTTGAGATTATGAGTGCATGCATCTAGATAGGGACGCAGCTGGGCAATCCTCTGAAGACGGAAATGAGCTGCCCAGACCACAGATGTCACCTGGGTTTCCATAGTGAGATCTGGATTCAGGCAGATGCACAAGCTGCGAATCTCATTCTCCGTGGGAAGAGTCACTCCCCCAAAGGAAAGGAAGTTTCCCCAACCCACTGACACCAGGGTCACCCACATGCAAGATTTCCTTCTTGTCCAGATTCAACCTCAGTCCGTTTGCCCTCATCCACCCCAGAACATTAATAATAGGGCGCTGTGGGCTAAACCGCAGAAGCCTGTGCTGCAGGGTCAGAAGACCAGCAGTTGTAAGTTCGAATCCACGCAACGGAATGAGCACCCGTCGCCTGTCCGAGCTCCCGCCAACCTAGCGGTTCGAAAGCATGCAAATGCGAGTAGATAAATAGGGACCACCTCGGTGGGAAGGTAAACAGCGTTCCGTGTCTAAATCACACTGGCCATGTGACCACGGAAAGATTGTCTTCGGACAAACGCTGGCTCTATGGCTTGAAGAGCGGGATGAGCGCCGCCCCCTAGAGTTGGACACGACTGGACAAAAAATTGTCAAGGGGAATCTTTACCTTTAATAATAGCCTATGATTACAAAACTATTTGCCTAAGTGCCTGTTATCAGGCTCCCTGCACTCTAGAAACCAGCACATCTAAGGACCAAATGGGCATGCCAAATTTCCAAGGATAAATACTTATTTTTTAGGCCACCCCAGGAACTTAAAGGCTTTTCTATTTTAAGATAAATCTGAAAAGACTGATACTGTGTTTTGTTTAATAGCCTTGTTAGTTATCTGGATATAGAGGGAGAGTTAATGTATTAATGAAATTCGGGAGGAAGAATAATCTCTGCAATCAACATAATAATAACCATGGCACATCAGATGCATGGTGCATTACCCAATGATGCTACTTCACTAGCACAAAGACTGCAGCAACCCTGTCAAATGTGCCAACATCACCCAGGAAGTTACTTTGGTGATGCAGAATGCATTTTTTGACACAAAACAATGGCTTTAATCAGCCAAAATTTCTCTGCAGTATAAAATTGTATAGAAAAATGAGCATTTACGAAGCAACAGGAAAAAAGAAAGGAAAAAAAAATCAAGAAATGGGAATTTCAAGATGTATTTATGACAGGCAATAAAGGGAAGAAAGAGTGCTGATTCCCATATTTGGACTATATTAGCAATTGTGAAAAATAACAGTGTCTCTGAAAGTGAGCAGAAAGAAATTTATGAAGTTCTGAAGAAATGATTCAATCACACAAACTCATTACCCACAAATTTTAATTTAATCACAGTCACATTAGCCACAAAAAAACTAATAGAACAGGAAGGGAGTTCTGGAAAATATACTCATATTTCCTTTCTGAAAAACAATATATTCTTTAAAATCTTTCTGACTTGTTTCACAGCCATTTGTGTTAACATCCCACTGAGGAATATCATAAGCAGCTGCAGTACCTGATGAATTCCATACAGATGTGCTAGAGCAAATCTGCATAGCTTACAAATGTCAACCAGATGCACTCCACCTGCTACCGAGATACACAAACCAGGCAATTTTAGGTAACTCTGTTCACTGACAAGTCTTACACAATAACCATCTTCATTACAATGGATATTGCAGTGTGTGGTGTCCACCCAGGTCATGAATATTAATGTGCTATCTGCATGTACCAATTAGAGTGCTGGAGAGATGGAGTCATGAGATATAAGAGGCTCTGCAGGAGGAGGATGGGGGATTTGGATGTTTAGGGGAGACTGTTAGATTGCTAAGCAAGGGCTGATGTCTAGTGAACAGATGAAGACCATTAAAGATGTTGGTGTAACCTTTATTCTTTGTTACAATAAACTATTTCTGCTTTATATAAAAAGACACGTTGTCTGGACCTCTGTCGTTAACATTGAAAGTTGATGTGAACAATTGGTGGCAGCTGAACAGCTTGTGGCATGAGCCTTTGTTTGGTGAAACAATCAAAAGGCACGTGGAGAACGCAACATAGTACTTTTTCATCAGCCTCTACCACAAAAATGAACTACAAGCTGTCAAGATCATTCGTGATGGAACTAACAACTTGACTAACAAATTACCTGAGCTTTGGTGAGAACATGCACCATCACGACAGTGACATTGCCACAGGTCTCCTCATAGCTCCACAATAGACCAGTAATGTCATGACTCATTTAGAATAATGCTTCCTCAGCTCCTGCCACAAAAGGCCTTTTA